ATAGGATCTGAACCCGCGGCGGGAGCATCGCTGCGCTCCCAGCGCCGCATTCTCCCGGGTGCGCCACAGGCCGGCCCCTCAAGGCTTAATTTTAAGCTTTGTTAGGGTAGGACTAAAATAACCTTCACTCTAGAGCTAATTTAGACCCACTATCAAGTCATGTCCTCTAAGGGTCTCTAGTGACTGTCCTGAGTGATGAACAAGGTCTCTGTTCTGTCAGAATGTAAATGATTCCTAGACCTGAGTGAGCTCTGAGAACTGATCATCTTATAGTTCCCTGTTGGGAGTTTCACCCTGCACATGATTAGCAGATGAGTCTTGAGCAGTTTAGACAACTTGGATTTCTGAAGCTCTTTTGCTGAGTAGCTCCCTCCTGTTACTGTCACCCACAAAGTTAAACCATTTCTCCTTCAAACTCAGATCTTTAACCTTTCAACTTAGCAAGACTGTTGTGCTTCGCTGGGAATCCCCCTCCTGGCACCAGCATCTAGAAAATACCTCAAGGCAGAAAGCCAGGGGGAAGGTAGGTCTCACCTCACTCGTTTCCTTTCACTCAGGGATTGCAGTCCTGCACTATTGTCCAATATGTGAAAACAGTTGTTTTCTTATCTGTCCAGAGTTTTAATTGTTAATGGCAGGAGGATTAATACAGTTCCAATTAAGCCATCATGGCTAGGAGCGGACCCAAGGCATCATTTAATAAAATTTCCAGCATGGATGCCATGTTTTACAAGATGTCATCTACCCAAATAACCCAATCAATGTGTGACTTCCACCTTTCCATCTACCTATTCCTTGGGAAACAAAGATGAATAAAACTTAATTCATGCCCTCAAAGAACTCACAACTAAAAGGGAAAGCCAGAAATGTGTAATTAATCAGTATGATTATACAAGCAATACAAGGGGCTATGGGGACATACAGAAAGATATGGTCAAGTCTACTTGGAGAGGTCAGGAAAGATTTTTACAGCATAATGTTTAGAGTAAGTCTTGAAGAATGAGTGAGAGATTAAAAAACAGGATAGGACATTTGGGACAAAAGACATCCCATATGCAACGTATGAAGTTATGAAACAACATGTAAGTTTGGGAGAACTACTAACAGTTCCAAACACCTATAATATAGTGTTGAAAGCAGGGAGGGGAGAGAGATAAAGCTATTAAAAAAAAAAAAAAAAAGACTTGGGAGAATCATATCATAAATGTCATGTTAATCACCATTCACATCTATAATTCATCGTCAACAACCATCTATTGTGCTCATAGGATATATATTTTAAATATATTATATACATTACATTTAATTCTCACAATAACCTTATGAGAAAACTAAGGCTCAGAGAGCTTAAGTAATTTTGCCCAAGGCCACATGGCTACTAAGTGAGGAAGCCAGGACTTAAACACAGGTCCATCTGATTCCACAACCCAAAACGGAAACTTGCTTCACATCTATAGACAACGGGAAGTCACAGAAGTATTTTTTGCCTTAAAAAGTTTTCTGAAATTTACGTTCATTGATGGAGCAGTTTTAAGTCGGAGGGAAATACAGTTTATGTTTTTAGAAAGGTCACTCTGGTACACAAGGAACAAGGATTGAGGGAGACTAGTCAGATGAACCAGTTTGGAGGCTGCTGGTAAGAGTGCAGGAGAGAAGTAAGAGCTTGGATTAGGTGGTGTTTAGGAAGAATGGAGAAGAGGATGTGAATTTGCAAAATGTTTAAGAAGCAGAATCTGTCCTGTAGTGACCAAGTAGCTTTGGCAAAAGGGAGATTGTAAGGTCAACTGTGGACATGCTGATACACTGAAAGTGCCAGGTCCTATACCAAATGCAAGGGACACAAGGATAAGCAGGACATGGTTTCTCCTCTTGAAAACTTGAGAGTTCATGTAGCATAACAGAATCAAATCTATGCATTCCACGGAAAGACAGTAAGTACCTATGGACCACCTTCCCTCCCCATGACTATCTTCAGAATCCTTAATGAGTCTAGAGATCCAGGCTGGCAACCACCACTGTAGAACATTCTCAAGCCTGCTACAAACAAGTTGAGATTATCAGGTGTTCAGGGTACCGACTATCCCCCAACCCTGCCTGTGATTATCAATAACAACTTTATTAAAAACAAATGCAGGTACCATTTGTTGAACACTGACAACATGGGATCACTGTGATGAATATTACTAATTCCCACAATAATCCTAAAAGCAGACCCGTACTCTTCTTTTTAAAGTGGGAAACTGAGGCTCAGAGAGGAAAAGTAAATTGCCCAAGTTACTTTGGTGCCCCAAGGCTACCCCATTAACCATTTAAAAAGCATCTTGGAATTTTCCATCTTCAGGAGGCTTCCATCATCCTCTCCCAACTTTTGTTACTCTCTTCTCTGAGCCCTTCTGGGCCTGATTCCTATTTCCCTTGAGGTCCCTACTATGTTATACTGTAATATATATGTAATTTACACATTTTTCCCCCCTGACAATGTACTCTTTAAAGAACTTCTTCCCCTTTGCTGCTGAGGGCCAGCAGGGGGTCACAGCAGTGCAGATGGGACCAGTCAAGTCCTTTCCATGGTTTCTGAGCTGCCAATTACTCATACCAAGCTACTTCAGAGCTCTGGGCCATTTCTTGCACCTGATACACCTCAGGTTCACTTTCCACACTCACTGGGCAGTTGTAAGGCCCACACCTAAGATACCCATGGCTTAAAGAAGTGCTTCTTGGGATGGAGGAAAAAGAGGAGTTGGTAAAGGGACACGAAAATCAACTATATTGTATATTGATAAATTTAAAAAAAGAAAAAGGGCTTCCTGTCCGCTGAAAGGGAATAGGAATGGAAGACTCAGAATCCTTAGAGCAAAAGAACTCAAATCATAACCAGCAGGCCCTAAGATACTGAACATATACCCTGTCCTGACATGTTACCAGCAACCCTCACATGTGTATGGTATTTTTTTTTTTAGAAAACTAGAGGTGGAAAAGGGGAAGGGAGGGGTTGAGGAAGGGGGCGTTAATGAGGAATTGGTCAATGGACACAAAGAATGATTGCGTATTGTAGTGATGAATAAGCTAACTATATTGATCTAACTCCCACACACTATACACAATTATTGAAAATCAGTGTTGCACCCCACATGTATGTATAATAAAAAATAAATTAAAAATCATAAGTAAATTTTTTAAAAAAAATTTTCCCTCCTAAATTCTGTTATTTCTCATTGCTGCAGAGAAAGGCAGTACACAAACAATGCAGGTAGCACAGACTTCAGTGTCATCCAGACTGGGGTCCCAGTCTCAGTTCTGCTCCTAGCCAGCTGTCGGATTTATGGCAAGGCACGTGCTCTCTGAGGCTCTTTTCTCCCTGTAAAAAGGAAAGAATACCACTCCCTAGGGCTATGATTCTAACTAAATGAGGTCCTGAATGCAGAAGATACTCAGGAGGGACGGTGGGGCCAGGTGGCTCTGTGCACCCAGAGAGCTGGGGTCACGTGGTGGCTCCACCTCTCTAGTTCTGTGGATGAAGTGGAAGAGGATACCTTCCTCAGACTGGTGTGAGGAGTAAATGAGAGGTAGCGACAAGCACTCAGCATGGTGGATTAAGTCCACGAATAATAACCATGGTTTAATTCTGTTACAAATGAACATCTTTATAGAACACAAATGACTCCCCCAAAATTTCACAGTGAAATCTTCACTGCAAGGCATTTGTCAACAAAACAGTCTCTTTGGAATAGCTATCCTCACAGTGCCACTGGGGCTCAGCTGGCAGCAATGGAGCACCAGTGCCCACCAGGCAAAACACTCCCCCTACCAGGACACTGACTCCGACCCCGTATCAGCACCACATGGCCAGGAACATTGGCTCCTTTCAATCTGAAAGTCAGGATAACTTTATAGAACTTCTAGCAAACAGAGCCATGGAGGTCACACCAGAAACATCAAAGCCATACTTGCCCATAAAGCCCAGTCCTCATCCGTGTGGAAAATGGGGGAGAATGGGTCTACTGCAAATAGCTGCCCAAAAGGCAGCCCCAAGTTGCAAGGTGAGATGGGTGTTTGTAGTCACATGGTAGTGTGGCAAATGAGACAGCCAGCTACTTTTTGCTCAAAAGAACT